TCACAAAATAAAAGAATCGAATAAATTAAATCTCTATGTTAACTCTGAAATATTATTATTACAAGTTATCCAAAATCGACAATATATCAATTTGACAATATTACAGTAAAAGATAATTTGTAAAATAATTTAAATAACAAAAAAATGCGTGACATAATTACATAAGAAAAGCGTGACTGAACTTATATAAAAATTGGCACACAATATTTTGAAAAGTAATAGAAAAATAGATGAGATTTAATTCATTAAAATATTGAACTTTACAGCACAAGGAATCAAAACCCCGAATTGGGTCACTCAACAGAAGTTCATCTCTAACCTCACCAAGAGAACTCTAGCCTAGCTTGCAAAACATTCTCACAAGTTCTAGAGAGAAAATATGAGACTGACAGCAAGACGACAGAAAACTGAATATTAAAAACTTTTGAAAACCTTAGGCCAACCTCTCTATTTATAGTGTTCAGAGGTTGCCTATCAAAAAAAGAAATAAATAGTAAAACTAGAAAATTACAAAAGAAAAGGAAACAAAATAAAATTACACATAAATTAGGAGAAATCATATATTTAATTTGAGAAAGAAATCTGGTAATCTCGTCTGATTTTTGGGGAAAGAATTTAGATTCAGCATAGAAGAGACACGTGTCGAAGCTTGATTGGCAGTGAGGAGAAGACGTGCCACGTGTCGCACGCGGATTCGTTGGACTGTGCTGGCGCGGGCAGAGTAGAGGACAGCTGGCGCGCGCTAAGAGGAAAGGCAGGCTGGCGCTGTTGGGCGGGACCCACACAAGGAAAACGTTGGACACACACTGATGGTTGTGTGGAAGAAACATGCTCGCTGAGGACTACGTGCTGGTGACGCGCGAGGCGCGAGACGGCAGGAGGAACGGGCGCAGATTTTCGCACTGATTGATGGGGCCCACGCATGGCTGGCTTGATGGCTCATTGGGCTGACGCGGCTCTCCCTCTGGCTCGTGTGGCTTGGCTGAAGGCTCAAAAATATGGCTTTCATGGCTTCTTCTTGTGTAATTTTTTACACTGCTTTCATCTATAAATAATTAAGTAAAAACTAGACAAATTCTAATTAAAAATATTATGAATAAAAATAATTGAATTGTTTAATTAAAACTTAAATATTTTAATATTATATAAGTCAAAAGCAGTATTTAGGGTGTATTTTCATGCACTAATCACAACCATGAAGGCTGATGATGATTAGAATTAAACATACATCCTTTATTTTTTTCTGCCGGAGCTAGGTAATCTTAGATGATATCTTGTCCATCCTGTTATTACCAGGCGTATGTTGTTGATCTAATTATTCTCTATTCAATTTTCACTCTTCATCATCACTTTTGTACTTTTATCTTTTTTGTTGTGTAAGATATAAACAAACAGAAACCTCATATGACAACACAATTTGGTTATGTAAGAGAGTAGAGTTTTTAGCAATAGAGGATTTAGGAATCTTAGTTATGAGGCTGTAATCTTTCATGTCTATTTCTTATATTTATTACATGGAAATATGATTCTTTCAAATTTCTGCGACTGCTGGATCTTAAACAGCTGATCAATCATTGCTTGCCTTGGCCTTGAAAGTTATGTATGCGTTCTTTCTTGTGGCTTAAAGTTCGTTTGTGAAGACAAGGGAAACTGGCGTATATTTATTCGCGGTCCTTATGCCAAAAAAAGAAAGAAAAAAAAAAAGGCATTTTCACTTTTTGATCTTTGTAAATGAGTTCACAGTGCTCCCAGTTTAAATTCTGTCTAAATTTGTTAGCCTAGGTCCGAATCACGATTTAATTCCTTTTAAATTTGTCAGCCTCTGAAGCCCGTGGTTCAGATTTATTCAGCACATTTTTTTAGCCATGTTTGAACTTGAATGGGAAGTGTTCGGTTGGAAAAATTCCCGAATTCAAGCGCACAAAAAACACCAAAAACTTGTCAAAACTCGCATGTAAATACGCCGAAGGATACTTTTGGAAAGTTGATGTTGGATCTTAGTTGGAAGAGTTTTTGTGGCCGACTTGTGGAGTGATGGCAAATTTAAGGCAATAACAAATTGAACATGACTCACATTTGATTAAAAAAGGTTGAATTAGAAATAAGTTGAGTGAAATTGAAGTCGCTATATTACAAGCAGCGTACAATTAGGATATGATTAATATTGGAAAATCATTTATAGACACAAGTATATAATGGAATAGAGAGTAATATCAATGTGAAAATGCATACTATATCAGGAATAGGTTTAATTTGTTAAGCATTAATCCTCTAGATGAAAATGATTATAAACAAAGTTGTCTAAATGAAAGGGCTGTACAAATGATAGAATGAAATGATTTTACTTCTGAGTGATTAATAAACTCTTGTTTATGACGTTGTTTTTCTTGATTTACTCAGTAAAAATTTTCATTCAATCAAATTTTATTCATTGTTGGAAGCATATTAGAATAAATAGCTGAAAATTTTAATTTATAAGGTGAAATCTATTCCTTCATAATGAAGTCAGATGAATAGTTATCTTAAGTGTTGATTCGGTTTTGAACATTAAGAGCTCAATTAATTTTGATTTAATTAAATTATTTAAATAATGTGATTATTTAAATAAATTAATGTTGTGTTTACTTACCCGTAATCAGAGTAAGCATGAATCGGAGTGGGCAGGATTCAGAGTGCATAGGAATCGAAACAGAATAAGTTGTTTACTTAAATTTCAGGAATCATAGTCGGAATCAGTCTTAATCCCATTCATACGTTTACTTACGCCCTGAATCAGAATAAACTATTATAAATTTACTTACATACCTTTAGTAGATTTTGTGTGTTATAATAATTTAAAAAAAAAGAAATTGTATATTATAATAATTTTTTAATATTAAGACAACAAAGTAATTAGTAATTAGGTGTAATTAGAATTTTTTTAAAAAAAAATAAAAACGTAGTTTCAAAAATCATCGAAATTATTTTCTCAATAAATCATGAAATAATTTTAAAATAATATAGCGATGAATTAAAATAAAAACTAAAGAACTAAGTTTTAAGTCATTAACACTAAAAAAGAAGTTCCAAGTCAATAAATAGAGAAACATATCCCAATCATAATCCAAAGGACCAACATAATTTAGCTAATCTAATAATTGCCTAATCCAACACCCACACCACAACTATTCCTTCTTGAGTTGATTTAGAATGTTGTAGAATACACGCAGCAAATATCAGAGGAGAATTAGGGCATCTTTAATATTTCACTTTTTTATCCATAAATTTGTTAGTAAAATTAGGAGTAAAATTGTACTTTATTTTATTATCAAGATTAAGAGTGACAATTCGGTGGGGGCTGAGAGATTGTCAATCTCATTCCTCAACCTTAAATCGGTGTGGGGCCTACACATTCTTACTCTCATTCTATAATTAAAGTGGGTACAAAAACTAGGGTTGATTCTCAATCCCCACTCCCATTCCCCACCCAAGTAAGTAAATGTGCCATAAAATTGAATGACACGATGCGGTGGGACCACAGTGTTAGTGTGCTCTACGGAAAGAGTACCTGTGGTGTTTGTGTTTGTGTTTTATATGTGATTTTCAAAATTCAAGTTTAGATATTTCTATTTGAAAAATTGGATTTTTTTTTTCTCGAAAACGGTTTATTAAAATTTTGAATATAAGACATAAACAAGTGTTAGGCAATATTTTTGGAAGGAAAAAAAATGCAATAAATTTGGAGGTCAAGCCCGAACAATCTGATCCCCAAGTTTTTTGAGCCCAAACTTTCTCGAGCATAAGTCTCATGATCTCAAATTTTCCCAAGCTCAAGCTTCCCGGCTCAAGTCTCCCAAACCTTAACTTTTCCCCTGCCCAGCTCTCATGAGCTGAAAGCTCAAAGGTCACATGGCGCTATTAAATGGAGTAACCGATGGCAATTGAAGACAATAAATGGCCTTTCTAATTCTCGTGCATTGATATCACGGCTAGTCTGGATCGAAGATTAATTCGCATTGATTATTTTATCAGTTGTAACACCTGAAAGGTGAAGAGTTTTATTGTAACTAAATAGAGAATAAACTCTTGAATTAGTAAATTAAACTCATCAATCTCAATGTACTTTAAAATTTCCTCGATTTGAGAGGAATAGTTATGCTTTCAATTTTGAATACAATTACTTGAGATTGTCTTTACATTGTCACTGTTATTTTTCTTAGAATTATTGTGTTTTTCAGGTGTTTATCTAATATTTTTAGATTATTTCTTTCTTTAACACAAATTATTAGTTTAGGGACATTGGCAAAGTGCCGACCGAAATTTGCCTCCAAGATGTTGATGCAAGGAGGGAATAGAGGGATCCATAAAGAACTTCTGGAAAATAACAAACAGTAACTCAAATTGAACAGATGGATCCGGAGCCCAACTTTCCCTAACTGTCCTTAAATAATACCAAACCAACATTTCAAGATAACGGATTTGGTCTGTCCTTAAATAATTTTAGTATCTAGTACTTATTATGTATTCAAATTTTTAAATTTCTATGATATAAATAAAATAATATTGAATAGTCAATGAGATAGAAAATTGAAGACAACAGATTTAGACTGATCATAGAAAAAAGCCTCGTCTCTTATCATGATCCTAGAGACTCATACAGCGAGGAATATTATTCTTTTCTTTGATTCTACAAAATTCCCATATGGAAAATTTTATTGAAGACATTTTCTTAACCTGGGTTATGAACAAGTGTTTCAATCCTTCATGTATTACTAGCAAGAGAAAATGGATGAACTCACCTTTTAAATGTATTATTCTGAAATTTATATCCTTTACTCTTGAATAATACTCTTTTTGACTAGTTCTTTGACTAAAATTAAGAGTACATGATGAAAATATCCAAGACCCATGCATTTTAAAGGGTATTTGTCTCCTTTTCCCTCCTAGCAAAGGGATGAGAGAGAGAGAGAGAGAGAGAGAGAGAGAGAGAGAGAGAGAGAGAGATGGATTAGAGAGACATCTAAATAGTAGAAATACTAGAATTTGCATTGGTGAAATATCTAATCCTTCATGTATTACTAACAACGGGATTCACAGTACACAAATAACATCATTTACTAACATAACACTACTCCAAAAATCCTCAGTTCAGGAACACAGATTATCACTACTCCAAACCATTACAAATGTTAACCGAATCCGAGACAGCAGAAGACAATACAGAACATGTAAAAAAAAGCCCTCAAAATGCCACTCGTCAAAAGCCTCGCCTGCAACAAAGAAAAGACAACCGTTAAAATCCAACTAAAGAATGACAAAGTAGCACTTTCTTTATTAGAGAACTAAACAGCATTTTTGTTAAACCACAGCAGATAGTTAGAGAGATGCTAGGGTGAGATCTTTCAAATCGAAGAGTATCGAAAGCGAGGAACTAAAACTAAAAACAGACTATACAGAGTATTACGTTTTTGGATGTCACAGGGATTGGATTGTTTTCTATGCGTTTCAATTTTCATCAAGTAGATATCTAAGTACAGTCACTGCAACACACATGTACAGCTCTCAGATCACAAATTATTTTGGAAACAGTTGACCGATATCGTTTGTGATAGAAAGGTTAAGCTCAAATTGTGAAGAGTTAGCACATTTATTTATGCAGACAGCACAGAAGTTGCAAGGGCATATTTTCATGAGTGAATCTAGGTTATACATCAAGAAAGAGAATAGCATATTCACATAAATTTTTGTTAAAACACAGAAATCCTACTGAACCAGAAAAGTAACCAAAAAAAAAAAAAAAATACTTCAGCGACCTAGAAGAGATAGACTGAAAACTCAGAACTCCAAGAATAAAGTACAATGTCATAAAATTGCTCCAGTGTCATAGACACTGAAAAATCCAATAGAGTACAGAGGATCACCACAGCAACACTGGCATAAAAGTAAGCAATCAGTTATGAATTTAATATTGGAGCATCTATTTCAGGTTTGGATTTCAGCTGGCATCTTTCTAAAACCATTTTGTCAACATCGATACAACTGAGGTTTTATCAAGTTTTCATGAAGAAGACAATCAGAATTGACGAATCCCTTAATATTATTGAAAGGATAACACCGCAAGATCACCCCAACAAATGGGAAAAGTTGTAAAGTCAAGTTTGCTTGGTTTCCTTTCCATAAAAACATAAAGAAATAGGAAATGATGGAAAGTGTCAAGTAAAAGACTTTTCTTTGCAAAGTTTTCAGACATTTCATACAAAGATGCACAAAAATCAGAATCTAGTGCTTTCAAAGGCTTACCCAAAATTGAAAAGTCAGTTACACGCAAAGTTACACCAATGAAAAAGTTTATATGTGCACGCTTATATTCCATTTGATGGAGTTCTAAAATTTTATAGAGTACTCAGTTTAATCTCTTCTGCAACTTCCTAAAAAATAATCAGTTGAATTTCCAAGTATCGTCATGACAAAGCACGGGCAAGGAAAGCTTGCTTGCCTAATTACCTTACTAGAATGTGATCAATCTTGCAGCAAAAGTAAGAAAAACCAAACGATGATAGGTTTTAAGAGTAAATAGTAGAATTCTATTGCTAGAGAATAATGAGAATGGTGGGCAACATTTTACTAAAATCAAAGCAACATTAAAGGAATGCATAAGTCTTGGATCTCTAAAGGCTCAAAAAGCCATTCACATTCAAAAGAAGTTATAATCACCAACCTACATTACTCAATTGCTTCAAATTCCTAGTTTGCTAAGCATCCTTTCCAAACTCCGCTTTCAAGATCTATCCGAAGCTAATAGGGACCTAAATGCTAAAAGTAAAAGCCAATCAATTGCTTCAAATTCCTAGTTTGCTAAGCGTCCTTTCCAAACTCCCCTTTCAAGGTATAATCTATCTGAAGCTGAGGGATCTCAATGCCAAAAGTAAAAGCCAACATTAAGTGTTAACATAATGTCGTCCCGTGCTTTCCATTAGAAAACATAACAAGAAATATTATTTATTGTTGGTATTTGGTAAATGGGATATGATTTGCCTATGGGAACTAATGTTATAGACTAAACAGGCATGCCTTCTCATCCATTCAATCCCATAGGAAAGCAGTTTCAAGCACAAGTCCACTAAAATACTTCCCTAGATACCTCAATAAAAAGGTCCATCAAATAAGAGGTTGAAAATAATTAAATCCTTCACAAGAAATAAGATCCCTCCAATGTTATGTTCTCTTTCTGACCAGATTTGTAGAGATTTGGACATAGAAAACTCTCTGATGCTTTAAAAAATACAACTTCAGCTTCATTTCCAGGGAAAAAAAAAAAGATCAAACAAAGCATTAAAAGTTGCCCAAAATAAAAGTCTTGGAAGATAATCACCAAGATCTTAGATTAAATCAGTAGAAGCTTATTCCTACTTTTCACAGTCTCTCTAAAGAAAGCGGTTAATTGAAATAAAGTATCTTCTTCGTTCTACCTATAATCAACCTTAAAAAAAATATTTATCAGGGAAATGTTCTAAAACATACAATTTAAAGAAAGAAAGGTAAGGAACCTTACCCAATAACTATTGCTGCTGATTTTGCTGGTTCTGTGCATTTGGAGGCGGCGGCATTCCGGGACGCGGTGGTCCAAACAGCGGAATACCACTACCAGGTGGAGGAGGCATCCCGGGCCGAGGCGGGGGCGGCGCAGGCATTCCCGGACGAGGCGGAGCGGGCGGTCCTCTCATCATCTGCCCAGGCGGAGGTGGCCCCATCGGCCTCTGTCCAAACTGCTGCGGCGGAATCGGGAAAGGCTGAGGAGGCCCTCCCCCGGGCCTAGCACCAGGAGCAGCAAACTGCGGCGGCGGCTGCTGCACTGGAGGAGGTGGCCCACGCGCCATCGGCGGGGGCCCCCCACCAGGGAATCCGGGCATCTGGCCAGGCGGTCGGATAACCGGAGCAGGCGGGTAGGAAATCGGGGGAGCGGAGAGCTGCGGCACTGGCGGGCGGGAGATCTGGGGCTGCATCATGCCGGGTGCGGGCCCACCAACGCCTCGAACCGGGCCGGCGAGGCCGGGCTGGGCCTGGGCTAATGGAGCAGTGGGAATGCCACGGCCCGCGGCACGGCCGATACCAGGGCCAGACAGGGCGGCAGCGGAGGCGGCCTTGGCGCGGGACTCCTCTTGAGGAGGTGGGCCCTCGACGGTCATGGAGACGACCTCCTCGCCTCGGAGGAGGACGAGGCCGAGAGTGCGGCGGTCCTCGCGGTCTTCGTTTGAGGATTTGGTTGATCCTTTGGCGGGAGGGAGTTTTCGGAACTCCTCGCAGTCGCCGAGGACGAGGTTCATGTGGCGGTCGAAGGCCATGAACTTGCCAACAAGCTGGCGGCCATCCTGGATGGTCACACGCATCCGGTAGTTGATGTACTGGAGCATCTTCGAGCTCTTCGACATCGACATTTTTGCCGCTGTCAGAGGAGAGAACAGAGACGAAGAAGAAGAAGGAGAGGGAACGTAGAAATGGGACTGGTCGAAAGAGGCTAAAGCCCTTGTTAGGGTTTGGTTTTTTTTTTTTGGTTAAATTGCACATATGCTCCCTAACTCTTTAGTAAGACAGCTTGATCTTTAATTTTTTTTTTTAGCAAAATGACTTCTAAATTTTTTAAAAAGTAATAATTAATGACATATTCTTTTTAGAGTGTGATTTGAGTATAATTTTTTAGTTAAATTTGAGTTATAACTTGAGTTTGTGTTTAGTCGTGTATATTTGAGTTATAGTTTGAGATAAGAATTTTTTTTTGAGTTTGTGTTTGAGTGAGTCAAAACTTAAATTTGTATTTAGATAGTATTTTAATAAAAACTCAATGGTGATGAAAAATTTTAATAAGGTATATGAGTGGAGTTTTACTCATCTTTTCGTTGTCAACGCATAGAAAAAAAATCATCTCAATCAGGATTAAAACAAAAAAGTTATAGCATTTTTAAGAATAAAAAAAATATTGTTCATTAATTTAAGTTCGAGTTTCTGAACTCGAGTTGAAGGAGACATTTGAACTCGAGTTTTAGTCCTAAACTCGAGTTCAAACTTAAAAGAACATAAACTTGAATAAAGTTAGAATTCGAGTTGCATTTTTTTTGAGTTTTTTGGGCAGCCGAACACACCCTTAGTCTTTTTTGTTAAATTCGGTTAAATTTTTAACAGAACATGTCACGTAACTCAACTCTTTTTTTTAATAAAATAACTTAAATGCCCTCATTAAAAAAGTCTTTTTCTTCTTCTTCTCTTTTTTTTCTCCCAAATTTCCCCCTCACATCTATTTTCTCTCTCATAATCTGCACATCCTTTCTCTCTCTTCAGCGAATTAAAGATAGTAATTTAATTGTTTGGGAGTGGTTATGGAGGTGGAGGTGTCGGGTGTGAAGCCGTCGGCCATGGTGATAAAGAGGAGGGAGAAATCGGAGAGTGTCACACCCCGAAACAGGAGTTAGTAACGTGGAGACTCGTTTAGAAGTTAAACATGATTAAGAAAGTAATTAAGCATTTGAAAATATTATAATCAATATCAAAAGTAAAATATTAAAGAAATTTTCAAACAAGCCCCACATTTTGATAAAATTAGATTACGAGAAAGTGATGAGGTCCTTTACACTTTTTCTGATAAAACAAATTCAAACTAAGCATCTGGCATCATTCAGGGTCTTCTCCCATAAGATACTTAATATTGTACATATATGAACAAGTAAATAACATTTACAGACATCAACCACAGTCTAGAATATTTAAGGTTTACAATCCAAGAATTTACAATTCATACATTGAGACAATAAGAACAGAAGAGGGCACAACTACTCCTCTTGAACCGCACAGACTAGGGTTATCAGAGTTTGCTACTTACTTTGCACTGCTTCTAGCGTCGCCTGAGAGGGGTTAAATATATGGATAGAAATAGAAGAAAACATGAACAGAAGGCCCAGTAGGATATATTTTAAAGAACTTATTAAATAGATAAATAAATAGAAATGTACAGTTCCAACACAACAACTAGAACCTAACATCCTTTTTTCTGAAAGGAAGATATAAACTTAAAATTCCGTATTACAGGCATCATCAAGTGATTTATAGCTATGATAAATTACTTACACAACCACAAGCACAAGCCTTAACACTACCGTAGTGGCCCGGTCCGGGTTTTGGGTCCTGCCCCCAAGGATACGATCTTCATATCATATCTAGACTATCAGCGAGCTTACCAGTTCGCAATATATCTTAAGAAAATATTCATTAAAACTTTAAAATAGTTCATTATGATTCCAATAGCAATAATCAAGCTATTATTTCAAAACACTTTTCTTTATCAAACATGTCATTTCTATTTAAACATTTTCATTGGCCAAAACACTTTAAAACAGGCTAACAAAGAAAAAGACAAGAAATACTACCTTTTGAATGTCAAACCTGTGGCTAGCCTTTCGCTATCCTAGCCTCCGCTTTTTCCAAAGCTTTTAATCCGATTCTTCAACTATCATTGACATAGAACAATGTTTTAGGACACAAACCTTATTCCTAAAACGAATCAAGCTCAATTGTACACTTTGATTTCCTATTAGTGTGCCTTAATCTAATTTTAAGTTTCACAAATTATTTCATGGTTTAAGTCATCATTCCAAGGATTTTGACCTCAAAAATATTGATTAAAGATGCTAATCCATCTATTTTAGGATCCCAAAGGAAGCCAATTTGAGTTCTCTTTAAAATTTGGGGTCAAAATAGCATTTTAAAACAACTCGGATCCATTTCCTCTGTCAACCGGCCGACCGGTGACAGAGAAGTCTAACTCCATCGGTCGGCCGGTGGAGTGGTGGCCAGTCGACCGGTGGGGAAGAGACAAGCCAAAGGAAATGGCCGATCCGTGAGGAGAAACTCCAAAACCTGCAAATCCGAGTTCAATTTCGAGTTATTCTCAAAGGAAAACTACAAATCCAGGTTCCAATTGACAAATTAAGCTCAAAGAATCAAAAATTCCCAAATCTCACCATGATTTCCACCAAAACTGACCTCAACCATCAAGTTTTTAACTAGGGATTCTCAACCAAACCAAAACTAGTTCTTTCAAAGTCATATTCTAAAATCAAGAGTGGTTTTTCAAGGAGTTTACCTCAAATCCTTCTTTTGCAAAGAAAGCTTGAGAGAGAGAGAGAGAGAAGAGAGAGAGAGAGAGAGAGAGAGAGAGAGAGAGTGAGTGAGTGAGTGAAAATGAAAGAAAAAGGAAGAAAAGAAAAGTGCAAAGGATAAACATTAAAGATATTTAGGAAAGTATATCAGAAAATGTGTCTACATACACTTCTGGGGTGAAAATATAAATATTAAAAATGTTTAGAATCCTTGAAAATATTTAAACTTAAATATTAGAAATCATTTAATGAGCATAATTAATTAATTAAATGAAATTATGTACACTAATAAATCCCAATTATCTTAATTAATCATGTTTAATTCCTCGAGGTGTTATAGAGAGCGATCGGGTCCTCGTGAAGAGGAAGATCCTATAGGTCGTCCTCCAGCAATGCCAGAGAGCCTTCGAATTGCTCGAGTCTAATAGATCCCTTGAAGACGACGACTACGGCGATAATGAAAATGACGTCGTCGGCTATAGCGTCGCCAAAGATGACGATGAGTGCCGCTGCAGAGAGGCTGATGAGGTATAGATGATTGGATTGCTTTTTGGTGTTGTTTTTCTTTTCAGTGTAAATTGTGATTATGAAACTATACTTTGTATGTTATTGGTTGTAATCTCAATATCGCGTCTGAATAATATAGAATTGTAGTAGGTTTATGCCGGAAAGAAGCCTTGCTCATTATGTTTTTCAGGTTTTTTTCCCTTTGTCTAAACTTAATTGGGTATTAGAATCAGACTTGAGTGGTTTATGATTAGGCTTTATAGTCTGGAATTGTAGCTGGAAAGGTTTAATGGGATTTGAGGGGTTAGTAAAAACTAAAAAGGTTCTATCTAAATGTTGCAAAGGACAGACACTTTTTCAAGACACAAATTTGTTTGATGAGCTCTAGATATCACTCTGCCAGCTTGAAATAGTAGCATTGTTGCTACGACTTTTTTCAGTATAAACTATTCGGAGATGAGGCCAGCGCTTTAGTACCTCTGTTGTTTGTTTGGTTTTGGTCGAAAAGTTAAGAAACACTTGTCAAAATATCAGAGTTTCTTCTTCCGGTTAAGAGCAGTAACTTTGTCCAACTCTGAGAAGAAGAGCTCTTAAGTTTGGATATCATGAATGTGGAAAGGTAGCAGGGCTCTCTGTTCTTAATCACTGATTTTTCGTTTATGGTGTATGTGGGCCTTTTAAGTCACTTTTCATTTTTAGGTTCAGACTCTGGCTCTAACTAAACTTGTGGCTCCGGCTGTTCCTTAGACTCTGACTGTGGCTGTGGCATATCCTCACGATGTTGTTGTGCTAAACGTGTCATGTTGTCCTTTATTTCTCTAACTGAGTGTTCTAGTGAGTATAACCGTTTATTGATGGCTTCAAAATGTCTACCATTGTACTCTACCATCCTCTGATAGAGTATGAGGAGTATGTAATCAATAGACATACCATCTTGGGGACGAGGTTGTTATTGGTGGCGACAAGAATATTGTTGGGGATAGTGCTGGAACTTTGGACGGGCCGCCCGCGACCACCCGAAAATACTGAGTTTTTACCCGAGCCCGACCCGCCTAAAAAATTCGGGTCGCCCGCACGAGCCCGAAAATGCCCTTGAACAGGCCGAGAGCTTATATTTGGCTGCCCAAACCCGGCCGGGCCGCCGGAGCCCGCCCGAATAGTCCGAATTTTTTTTAATATTTTTTAATTTTTATAATTATTAAGTTAGTTTGTGTTAAAATTATATAAAAATTAAAATCAACATTCAACAGACATTATTAACACAATTGAATAAATTAATCATGTATATTAATGATGTATATTAAATTCGTAATTCATGAATGCCTTGTTAAAAACCTTACCAAGAAAAACCCAATTGGGATAAAAACTTGACAAGGAAAAAAGAGTGCAATCATTTTGTGACGAATTACAAATTTTACAAACTTACAAAGTTATACAATTACAAATACAATGTCAAAAGTAAATACATATTTACAAATTACAAATTTACAATTTAATTTGAAGCTAAAGGATCGTCTTCAAAATTAAATATTAATCGATTAAATTCATCGATCTATTATTAGCTTGCCGGCGAAATTGTATCTTGTAGACGTTGATCGGCCTGATCCCAATCCTTAATGCAAACCAAGACTTCAACAATATCCCTTTGTAATGCATTCTGGCGTTCCTCAAGTATTCTTCCTGTCGTACTAAAGGCTTGTTCGGATGAAATAGTGGAGACTGGGATCAAAAATATATCGATTGCCAATCGAGTTAGGATTGACCAAGTTAATGCCCGTGCCCTCCACCATTGAGCTAAGTCAAACAATTCTATCGTACCGTCGACTACTAAGCCTTCACTGAGGTACGCCATAAGCTCGTTGAAGCTGCTGCCGCTGTTGCCGCTGCCACTTATTGATAAAGATTCACT